GGCTGTTGAAGTCTTGACACATCTGCTGGAAACATCTGATCTGAAAAAAAAATGATCATCTTCAACAGCAATCAGTAATCTTGCTTCTTCAGGGGCCAACTCTAGATGTCTGTTTTACTTAGATGTCCGTCTTATAGAGGTGTCTGTTAAGAGTGAGTTCAATGTAATACAGTCAAACCTCCCATAAGCAACCACCCAAAATACAAAGACTGAGTGGTGACTTAACCTTTTAAGTCCCAATAGTGACAATTTTCTCCTAACGATGTTCATACATTATCATGACAAGAGGTTATGAGAATTAATAAAATGATCACCTAAGAGAAAATACTTTGATCTTTTATCAAATTCTCTTAACTAATTCTTAAAGGAAATGTATAGAGATCAGTTTGGAGAATTTGTATGTGGATATTGGGGCTTAAAGAAGGAGGCTGCTTACAAGAATTGAACAGGGGCTCTCTTCCGAGGAGAGGTCCAGGCACAGCTTCTTTATGGAAGATAATTTAATGCATAGAATATCTAAGTTAGGATATGTGTCCAAGTCCATATTGTCATTTATGTCCTTTGTACATTCTATTAAGTAACATAGTGGCCATGGTGAAAATAGAGATCAGAGAATGCGTCAAGTTGTCGCTTACAACAGGTCAAAAACAATGGAAAATCATCACTTGCAGGAGGTGGTCCTTAACTAGAGGTTCAAGCTGTAAGGCTTTGGCTTGGAAAATTTTGGTATTTAGGATTGGCGGCCACTTATGGAAGGTGATCGCTTAACAGAGATGGTCACACATGGAGGTTCGACTGTATTTCTTTTCCTAACATGAATTTCATGATGGGGACATCTCAATTTTAATTTCTAATTTATCATTCACCTTTCCAGAACTAGAAACGGATAATTTTCGTATTTGCCTTATTAGAGTTATGCACTAAATTCAATTCCAATGATATAAGATTCCATTCAAGTTATAAGTACCCTGAAATGTGACCCTCCTTTCAAGCTAACGATGAATTCCCGTAGAGAAATCTCATCACGTTTCACCAACAGCATATGTTGAGTTACTCAAATGGCGTGATGTTGTTTTCAACCAATCGGAAAAAGGTATTAAGTCGAAGGTTGACATTTAATTAATTTTGACCAATCACTATTTTCACGCTCAGGATCTGAGCATAAAAATGGAGAAAACAATGGTCTCCTTGCAGGTGTTCCTTTCCTTTCTCCCTCCCGCGTCCCGTGCGGCCAAATATACCCTTCCCCTTCCCCTTTAACGCCTACCAGCCTATATTTTTACTGATTACACCAACCTTCTTCAGGTTTATAGATGTTACCAGTAACGTTTATATTAAAAAAGGGAAAAAAAAAAGGAATTACTCTATAGACAAGAGTCCTGTTATGATCTCTTGTTTATAGACTATTGTTATTCCTTATTTTGAAAAGACCTCTTAATTTCATTTCACAGCAAAACCGATGTTGAAAACGATATAGAAATAAGGATGATGATGTTGTTGTTTGACGACATGAAATTTATTATTGAAATTAAATTTTTTAATTCCGCTCTGCATTGCTGGAGAAAAAAAAGAAATCGAAATTAAATATAGTACTGGACTTTCCAGGAAGGCATTGAAAACTGGTTGAACCTAGGCAAAATTGCACGTACGTGATACGCAATTTTTTTCATTCTGTGTGTCTGTGTCTGTGTGTTTTTTGGATTTTTTTGGTTGTATGTTTTTTTTTCCTTTTTCAGTGTCGTTTGTTTTCCGTTTCATCCTCGATAGTCTAACAGAAACCCCAGTCTTTTTGACACAAATCGGCCTTCCATAGGAAACCAGTGAATCCGCTGACCGAAACCGCACTGTTTTGAAACCGCTTACCGGACAACCTCGTTCCCAGGGCTTTTTCCCACAAAAAATGAGAGGCGCGCCCCTCCCATTTTTTAAGAGAAAAAGCCCTGGGAACGAGGTTGCTCTCCAGAGCGGTTTAATGCCCCATCCCTGACACTAATCCGGATAAAAAATGCGGTTTTAAAAATGTCCAGATTCGTGTGGACATGGTCTTAGGCCCTGTTTACAAGAAATGCCGAAAGGCTCAGGGATTCCCTTATATGGCGAATTCCTCAAGGTTCATTCCCAGGGCTTTTGTCTTAGACAATGCCCCTGGGATCTTGTACACTACGCGTACACCATGGGCGCTTTATTTCCATTCAACCATAACTTTCCAGAAACAGCGGCAAATGGTACAGAAATTTTCCGTAAAAGTTTCCAGAAATTCTAGGAACGGTTGAATTTCCGAAATGCCGGAACAATTCAGCCGAAGCTTCTTGAAATTCCGGGAACAAAGCCTTTGAATGCAAAGAAAAGTTCCAAGAAATTTTTTTGAAAATTTGGATATATCAAGCGAGGTTGTCCTCTTTTATGGAAATTTTTGATAATGCTGCCCTATTTGCAACTAGAAATTGCCTAAAATTCAAACCAGACGTTTTGGTTGAATGGAAAGCGCCCCATACTTCCAGGGAAATTGGTAGTGTTCTCGAGCTCTGAACTTTGCCAATTTCACTCGGCTTTAACCAGACGTTAGAAAATAAATAAATAAAACTATTTTGATGCACATGCAGAAAATTTCCCAAATTTTTGATAAATTTTGACAGCGTGTTTTTTTTAGAACTTTGAAACAAACTGTGACAAGCTCTAATTAAAGAGTGCGTTAGTGAAGAGCATGCTCACCCTCTACATTTCACTCCAACATTATTTGCAGTGAGGGTATTTTTTATTTAATTCTTTTATTCCACTAAAACATTACATTTGCAAATTCATAAATGCCCTTTAATTATTGTGAGATGAAATATTTCGCTCTACATCTGTTATGTTGTCTTGAGAATGACGCGTAGTTTAGGGGCAATGTATGGAAGGTCCGCGTAGATGTTTAAGTTGAACGTCACTCAACTTTTACGTTTACTCGCGGTCTTTTATACATTGTCTCTATTTTATTGACACGCGGAAATAATACGTGCGTACACAAGGAAAAATTACGCGACAGTGGATATCCCCCCTTATCAGGAAACTTCTCAAAGGACTATGCAAAAATGACGGTAGCTAGTGAGTAATGATGAAGACTATCAGTAAAGAGGTGAGACGCTGCAATCCATGCCAAGGGATCGTAAGTTTCGACACATGATAAAGAAAAAAACGGATAATTCAGTTTATATTACCATCTCCATGGGTTTTTATATTATGTTCTACATGTAGCTTTGCATTAACTTCACAATACATATAAATAAAATGACCGATAAGTAGAAAACTGTTTCTCTTTCCAAACAACTGTTACCCTAGAAGGATGTCTTACGTTTTCACTATCACCGTTTCGAAGAGTTTTAAAACTAGTCGAATTATTTGTCAATAATTCAATGAAATGCCCCAAAACCGAAATCGTAGGCAAAAATAAAACCTTTTGCCTATCAAAAGGATTGAGTTTACCTTTTTTTAAATAAGGACCTTAGCATTACTTCCAATAAATTTTCCGCAAAGTTTCGGTCAACCTTCCAGGCTATATTTTCAAAGTGTTCGAAAGAGTTTTTCACTGGCTATCTAAAAACCATAAATTCGGTTTATAATAGAAAACAACGCAGAGATTGCCAGCGCTATAGAGCAATTTTTCAGTAAGTGTGTTTTCCGATGAAGCATTCTACTCCTGTTTGATAAACACTTCTTAAAAGAGCCATGTCACGATATTTGCTATCCTCTTAAAGGAGCCATAACGTGTCTTCGCATCAATTAAATTCCAAAAAATAGTGGCCCAGTTTTGTTATTTGATAGTATATTTAGGCATTGAAAGTGTTCTCTGCTGTCTATTGCTACGAATGGCAAGGATGGACACGGATTGAAAAGCGATACTATATGCCCGCAAGAATCACCAAAAAGTTACTATGGTCAGTGCTCCCTGATGAAATTTCTTCTTAACTCTCGAAGAGCATTTTGTGCATGAGTAAAGCACTTAGTAATAACTTAAGCACAGAATTGATCTAAACATAGTTAGTGGAGAAGACTGGTTAGGAAAGCCGGCAAACATCAAAGTTGAAAACAACGGTGCTGTAGTTTATGTTGGAAGCTCCCTGACTGTGCACAGTCCTTTGTTTTTTGTTCACAAATTGTGACTGAATAAATTAATGCGCTATTTCTATTGGTCAGTAAGTTCGAAATGATAGGAATGCTATTGAATGTTGTGCACGGTCAGCTCCAAAAAAGCCAACAAAAACATACAACAAAAGAGTCTAACGGGTTTCATAACCATTCCACTCTAATAACTATGACCTAAAACAGTAATATTCTTGTCACATAGCCACTATAAAGCACAAACTGTCTTCACAACAAAATAATTAAACTAACGGGATATCAATATCTCACCGCTACTTCATATGAGCTAAGCCATCCAGTCTGCCTCTCGTTTCTCACTCTCTCGTTTTGCTCATTTGAAGACACCCTCAGTGAAAAGGCGATAATTATAAGAAACGTTACGAGTAACCATCACATCCGACCATTTGTGACAGTCATTCGTCGCTCATTTGTCTCCATTTCAAGCGATTTTTATCATAAATAATATTAATAAACGATTTGTTGATAGAATTCAAATAAATAACGCAAAACCATTGTATGGGTAGACTAAAAATTATATCTCGTGACTAACAATTTGAGCCCAATAAAATGAAGGATAAACAGTTTGTTATTGCCCCAGTTTTGCTCATCTTCTTCCCAGTGTATGGACGATGAAGTAGCCGTCTATTAATTTATTTATAGATTTGTTCTGCTTTTCCAGAAATTCAACCAGCCCGAGAGAGAAATCTCCTAACAGAAAATAGGTCTGTAAATCTATGAATCCCTGAAACACAATATCCAACTTAGATGCCATCCACTCGCGTATCGAATGGTATTCCTCTAAACTACTCTGGGCATAAAGCCGGCGTTCTAGTTGGGAACAACTTTTAAACCGGATTATCCTGACTAAAAAAGACGATTCTTTATCTAGCATCACTTGCATACGCTACCATGACAACGTTGTCCCCCCTGACAAACAACTGGTTCACATGACGACGCTTAAACACCAAACACTTATTACCACCAATGGAAATCGCCTTTGCCTGAATACTATCATCAGCCTTGGAATCACCTTCACGCTTGTGTTCAAGTGTTTGTTTAAAGTTTTCCATATTAGCAGGGACTTTCCTACTTCCGTCAACATTGATGTCACTGCAGGACGGTACCTTTACGCTGTTACTGGTACAATTGGCTATTCTCTTCGACTCTTTGGGTAGCTTATGTGTGGAAGACACTGTTGACGGTTTAGGCAGCGAGGCTTTCACTTCACCGATTCTCATTTTCTTTCCATGCTTCGTTTCTGTACTGTCTACAGATCTGCCACGTTTTCTGGGGTTTTGAGTTCCAGTTTCCATACCACGTTGAGGATTTGCTTTCACCTTGGAAGTGACTTTGATGAGACATTTATTTGAAACTTTTCTTGGTGCAGTTCGTGAAGGAACTTTCACTGATTGAAGTTCGCCTTTGTCATTGTATTCAACTTTACTAACATTACCATCAGTAGCAGCTAACCTTTTTCCATCTTTCACTTTAGAGAGCTTCTTAGATTCACTTGTAGTTTGTTTACCACAGGATCTATAAACCTGCCTGCATCCCTTGACAGTTCCTTTAGCAGTTGGCATGAGATGCCCGACCACTGTGGCTTGCTCTTTTAGAGTAGCCTTGTTCATAGAATGACGTTTTGAAGGTCTCTCAATAGAAGAACCACTTGCAGATTTAGGTGTTCCACCGCTACGAAGTGTCCTTCCTCCTGTTTTACCTTTCAAACCAGTTTTCTTGCTATCAGACGAATTATTTTCAGCATTTAATTCACATGTACTTGTCTTTGGACGTGACTCTGGCTGTGTTGTTTTCAAAGCATTCTCGCTAGTCGATTCCTTAGCCATATCGGCGTGACTTTTAGGCTTATGTAGTCCAGTACTGTCTTTCTTCACGTCTTTCGTTACAACTGCTGCAGAGTCTTCGCTGTGTGTTGAGGTTTTCCTTGTTCCCTTGGTCTTTCGACGTGACTCCGGCTGCGATGTTTTTAAACGGTTCTTCCCGTCTGATTCCGCAGCAGTTCTTTGGACGTTATCGGGGTGACGTTCTGCCTTGTTTCTTCCAGTGTTCTCCGTCTTACTGTTTTTATTACACGGTGAAGATCCCTGGGATTTTTTGGGCGCTTTCATTGACGACTGTGGTGTTTGCCTTAACTGGTCTTTCTTAGACAAACCGCCTAAATGGTTGTCTTCTTTAAAGCTCCCTGTCTTGGTGGAATTATTTTGTGCCTCACTCGTCATTAGTCTGCTGTCCTTAACCTCTACGTTACGCCCACCTTTAACTTTACCTTTCCCATTCTTTCCGCGATGGGGAACCTTTTCCTTTACTTTTTTCGAAGGCTTTTCCGTACCGCCACACTCCTTCACAGATTCTTCAAACCGAGGAGCTCCGCTCTTAGCATTTCCACAACTAGTCCGCTGACTCCGAATTTCACTCAGCCTTGTTCGGAGATCAGCGTTTGCAATGGCGGATGAAGAGCCTCTTCTCTTGCCGCCTAAACTTGCTAATAACCGTGATCTTTCCATAGGTAATGTGTGATGCCCCTCACCCGAAGAATGTCGCCTGGCAGGGTGAGGCTGTTTGTCTACCGCCGATGCAACCGTTCTGTCGTCGAACAGTTTACTTTTGGAAGTGCTTGGACCACCTTTCTGTGCGTCTGCTATTTTTACAAAAACCTCAGCATCTGAATCAGAAGAAGACAGTTCACCCTCTTCCTTTTCCTCCTCTCTGAGTTTTCCAGTCTTTAACGTCTCCTTACTTTTATCCTTTGGCGTCTCTTCATTGTCCTCACTTCGCGTTTTCTGAGCGTCTAACGTTTTCTCCTCTTCTGTTTCACGTGATTTAGCCTGTGACATGTCCACTTCATCGGAGCCAATTTCGCCTTCTTCTTTTTCAACTTCACTAGCCTTATCTTTGGACACAAAAAATGTATTTTGCAGCAGCTCATCATTTTGCAATTTGTTGTCCTCCGTGACTGTTACCTTGCGACAATCCCCACATGTTCCTTCGACAGAAGAATAATCGTCTTCTGTTTTCATTTCTGACGAGTTTGGGTGGTTCTTAAACAATTCACTAAACGGTTCGTTCTTCGCGTTATTTTCTTTGCCTGGAACTTTAAGTGGGTTATTAAAAGCTGACTCCATAGAGCCTTCTAGAGACACGGTGACACTGTCTCTATCCCCCGAAGCGTCAAAGGCCTTAGTTCTGAGCGAATTCCTTTCCTGGGTCATATCTAAAGTAACTGACATATCGGAGGCTTCAATTGTGTCTGAACAGAGAGTAGCAACTTTTACATCTCCACAACATGGTGAAAATGGTTCACTTTGTGCAGGTTGCAGTATCTCTGACTTACGATCGTCAGGTGATTCGTCTACATTTCTACATGGTTCAATTATGCAGACGCCCGAACTGTTTTCTACAGTTGTTTGGTCACAATCACTGCTACCAAGATATAGACCCTCACTGTTGCTCACCAAACAATCCTCACCTGAACGCAAGCTGCCACCTTGAGAAAGAATTTCATCTGAATTGCTCATTAGCGCAGCACTTTCTACATCAATTAGTACCGCCTCAGTCTCCTTGTGCTGCCTTTCAAGGTTAATCTTATTTTCGTCGGGAACATAATTTACGACTTCTGGAGCTTCAAAGTCAAACAGCCTATTTTCTTCATCTCGTATACCCACGTTGTTAGTAACAGTCGTGGGTATTTTCAGAGCTTCGACAGGCGAAGTTTCTAATTGGTCGGATGCGACAGACGTCCTTGATGCAGCTCGATCAAGACTGGGATCCCCCTCAATCTCAGAAGTGCCATCTACACAAATCAGAGAAGAAACAACTCCCTCTTCATTGCGAAAAGGAGGATTTTCGCCACTAAAAGTGAGAGCTCCACACGATGAATCAGTTTTGTTGTCTGTGCAGAAGAGTTTCAGTGGTCTCTGGATATCCTCACAAGTATCAGAGTCCACGGTAAGCCTTAGGCTCACTTCATGCAAATTATTTAAGCTTTTCTCTTCATCGCACGCGTCACCCTGTAAAAGCGCGTTAAATCTCACATTTTGTGTTTGATCCTCGTTTCGAACAACTTCTATATTATTTTCCATAGATTTGCGCTCCACTTGCTGTGTGTAATTTAGTGCTGAACAAGGAACAGTGACAGAATGCAGTGTAAATCCCTGCGTGGATGGCCTTTCTTCTCTTATGCTACTATGTTCTAAATACGTTTCGGTCGTGTCATCTTCAGACTTTTCCTTCCCACTACCAACTAATGCAATTTCTTCAGTTGAGTCACTTTTATCTGGTAAGATTCCATCTTCTATAAAATCACATTTTTCCTCTTTCTTTTCGCTGTCCTTGGTCATAACTGTCTTACTTTCGGAGAAAATGGACACGGTCTGCAATGTCGTTGCACTGTTTGATGGGCTCTCAGTGTTCTGTCCAATCTCCTGGCTTCCTTTCGAGCAATTCTCTCGTACTAAATTATATAACTGGTCGTTGTGTTCCATTTTAGTAAACTCTTGCTTTTGCTCATTCATGACTATATCCTCCTCGTCTTTCACCAACAACCGGTCACCTACAGTGACATCATCGCAGTTGTTCTTCATATTTATTCTGCAACTGTTTCCTTGTAACGTGTCATAACATGCATTCCCCTTTCCATCTGTGACTACCGAGTGACTACTGCCTTCGCTTGTGCTTGGCAAAATTTCATCAACGCCAACATAACTAACATCTGAATTCACGATATTTGATGGGAAAGGATCAAAATCTGTTTTATCAATATTCTTTTCAGCCCGAGAATCCATTTCTCTGTCGTTGCTATCAGATACCTGCTTATTTTTGTCTTTACAAAGCTTACTCAATTGAGACCCCGTTGTATCTTTACTGTCGACTACGCCAATGTTGGAGGCTGCTGACGAAGGATTATAATCACCGGAACCTTCACTATTATAATCAGTCGCACACACTGACAGTTGTAATTTGAGTTCTGTAACTGTAGAGGCCGATTCGTTCTCAATGCTTGGTTTTTGAGTAAACTTATTTCCGCATTTTTCAGAGGAGAATTCGTCAGTTTGATCCACTGTAAGAAGAAAGCGGCCATCACTATCATTCAACGATAAAGCAGAAGCATGCAAAGCGGCGCTTAGAGCTTCTGCAGAAGGTGTCAAAGAATCCTCATCGGGTGTATCCATGGAAATGTCCTGCTGGCCATGATCCCCGAGTGTGTCAAAGTCTAAAAGGGAAGAGTCCTTATATGAAGGTATAGTCCCCTTTCCTGTTTGAGCATCAATGCTAGGCTGAACAGCTAGTGATTCGCATTTTACACTCTCCTTTACATCCATACCAGCTGTTTTCCGTTCACAACCTGTCACTTGTGTTGATGAACGACCCACTTCATCAAATGATGTCGACGTACTATTTTGGCGATTTATCTCATCGTTTTGTTCTTCGTGAGGAGGCATATTTTCATTTTGACAGTTGACCTTTTTCCTTTTCTTCTTTTTCTTCTTTCCTGTTCCTTGTGTTTCTTTATTAGCTTGGGGTTGTTCAATTCTTTCTTCTAATGTATACACTTCATCGACATCGAATAGAGCCTAAGAAAACAAGACAAAATACGTTCCTTTGTTACAACTACGACAACAAATTATATAACGCACACTTGTGTCCCTAGTCAAGATTTAAATTGTCTTTTTATTCTCGGTATAACTAAGGTACAGCTAAGAACAGTCGAGCCCTGCTATATACTGAGGCACCCGCTTAACACGTACACCTTGTTATTACGCATAGTTTTCTGGAGAGCGGGAGGGGGCGACCGTGGACACCTCGTCCACGATGCCCATTTTGGTGAGATGAGATTTCGGCTTGCAGACTGCCCTGTCGATGTTTTATTGACCAACATGACAAGACTCAATGACTTGGTAAAAGACAGCGACGTTTACATCCCTGGCTGTGAATTTATTCGACAGAACAGGATTATAAACGGTAGTTTTGATGGAGGTGTTTGTTAATTTTTATGTTCGAACTTGTGAGAATTCAAAACACAATAGATAGTCATGATTTTTTAATACATTATCTAGATATTTGAAGTAATGGCTGAAGCATATCCCAGGCAGTGTGAAAAATAATATTTTCTTTGTTGGTTAATCATTCACAAACCTTAGCGAAACCTCTATTCAGCGGACACATGCCTTAGTCCATAGGCTGTCTCTGTCGACTGTAATTAAAATAGCCTGGGACCAAAGGCGAATAACAAACAAAAAAAGGCCGCGTGAAGGACTGGGAAAGGAGCAGCAGATCGCAGCAGATTGAAGGCCGGAAGATCTTCAACAAGACCGCTGACCCATGATTGTTATGCAAATTGACAGGTTAATTCAACACTGACTTACGATGTGTACAAAACTCCATTTTTTCATGTACAGTTCTGAAAGATCTCAAATCCTGTTTCGTAGCATCATCATCATTGGGCCATAGAGTATCCTCATTAACGTGACCAATATACAAACCGATGTGCACACTGAACCTTTAATACTTGACTGTTTTGCACTCTAAAACTCTCCTTATGGACAACTCAACACAATCCCATAAGGCACGAAAGATAGACACTGTAGGGTGTCACTGCTAGAGATTGCATCATTATGTTACATTGCAATAAAAGGTTTAACTGTGCAAATTGAGGTGACAAAGTTCACAGGTTGTGGTGATCACACCTTAAATTAATTCCGCCACTACACGTAAATGTATTTTCCCATGGACGGGGAAGGGGTAACCCTAAAAGACAGGAAGCAAGTAAGTTGCAGGTGGTTATTTTCAAGTATAGCTGTTGATGCAATGGCAAAACAATTATTTTCTTAGGTTAATCCTTTGGTGACGGCTGGGAAGTACCAAAAAAAAACCCCGCATTTTTCACCAATTCTTCTTCTTTGGACTAGTTTTCGACTAATTAGCATAAGAGTGGCTAAAAACGAGTTTTGTAAGAAAAGAGGCATATTTTCCGACCAATCTGATGTAATTAAACAGCTTTTTTGTTTTTCACACATGTGCAAAAGCCAAAATTTGGACTTCTCTCTTGCTCTCTGTTTTTTCCTTTGCCTTTCTTCTTTATTAGCAGTTTTGTTGCCTACTTTATCATCTTTCTTTTGCATGGAATTGTGGCTGGCTAACTTTTTAGGAAAGGGACAAATTTAATATTCAAAGAGTAGTATGTAAACAGCGAAATTGGCAGTGGATATTTCCCGAAAATGTTATCTTTTTTCTGTCAGGATTGGTCAGAATATCCAAAACGAGGTATCGCTGGAAAGATCTATCTATCTATCACGTCCGTGATTACCAATTTTATTAATAAACTGAAAGCTAAATGGTTCCAGGAAGGAAAATATGCATCATTTGATATGGAAGAAAAACGACTAAAGAAGTCGTTAAAAGGTTCAACCAGAATGCTCAAAGTTTCCAAAAAATAATTAGGTCTAAGAAACAAGGGTAATTCTAGATCAAACTAAGTAGAACACCCGTTAAACCAGAGAATGGATTTAACCCAAAAAAATAGCAAATAGGTTTATTTGATGAAAAGACAGGCATCCTAACCACTTGGCTATGCTAGTTTTTGTCTTTTGTAGCTACTTTTCTGTTTGTTTTATGGCCCAGTGGCCTTTTCCTAGCCTCCTCAAACCCTTCTAGTAAATGCAGCACTAAGCAGAATAACGTTTGGCATTGCAGATACTGCACTTCAATGGTTCAGATCCTACCTAGCTGGTAGATCACAGCGTGTATTACTTAATAGGAGCTTCTCAGGGGAATTCTCTCTACCGCATGGTGTACTGCAAGGATCATGTCTGGGGCCGCTGCTTTTTACAATTTATGCCAGCAAGCAATTTGAGGTAGTGAAGCGGCACCTCCCAGATGTTCATGTATACGCAGACGATAACCAGTTATAAATCCCATTTAAGCCTGGTTCCAGTGCGAGTGAATTGGAAGCGGTAACTGCATTACAAGATTGCGTTCTAGACATCAAGACTTGGATGACGGCTGACAAACTTAAGCTACATGTAAATGATGACAAAACGGAATTAACTGTAATTGGAACCCACGCGCAGTTGGACGAGATAAGCATATCAGAGCCCAGTATTGATCACGTAAAAGTGTCTACAGCATGCAACGTTCGGAACCTAGAGACGTGGTTCGACAACCATCTGAGCATGGAAACCGCCATCAACAAGACTTGTCAATCGGGACTTTACCATCTGCATAATATTGGGCGTATTGATTTCTTGGCTTTGAAGATAGAAACTCGATTGTTCAGGCAATAGTGATGTCGAGAACTGAATAGACTATTGCCACAGCCTATTGTAGGTGTTCCTGCTACGAACCTTAGCAAGCTCCAACAGGTGCAAAACGCGGCAGTCCGATTGGTGTGCTTATTGCCAAGACATGAACACGTCACATCGTCATTTATACGTCTTCACTAGCTGCCGATTAAGTTTAGAATCAATTTCAAGATTGCTATGCTCTGTTTCAAGCACATTCATGGACACGCTCCTAATTATCTTCAAAGCATGGTCGCCATCAATAAGACTTCGATAAACAACCTCCGCTCAAGCACCAGTATCCGGATGGAAAACCATTCACGACGATCGAAAAAAACGCTTTGCGATCGAGCCTTTTCCAATGCATCCGCCAAGGTTTGGAACAGTCTCCCACAGTCATTTACAGTCACAGCAAAATTTTAACGCCTTTAAGTCATTGCTTAAAACTCACTATTTTAGAGAAGCGTTTAATTTATAATTTCTTTTTAGTGTTTCATATAGTATACATCTTCGCATTTTATTGTAAATTCAAAATTGTAAATAGGTAACATAGTAATTTGGGATTTAATTTTGATATGTAAAATGCATTTGATCATGTCCTCCTGTATGTTATTTTGCGCTATATAAATATTAAATATTATTATTATTACTATTAATTTGCTAGTCCCAAAAATAATACTATAATTGGCCATTTCAGAGCGGTCTGCTTAGTGCCCTGGCCTTTGAATAGAAGCGCGGCTAGAGGTGAACATGTTTTATTACATTTACCCTTATGATTTTCATGTGCAAATCGCTAAATGTTGTCACGCTAATAAGCCCATGACCTAATGCTGGAAAATTGAAAATCAGAAAGGTTTGCAAACAAACAAAGTCACCTCTCTAGGGTGGTACTTAACCCTTTAAGCCCAATATCCACAAACAAATTCTCCAAACTGATCTCCATACATTTCCTTACAGGATTAGTTCAAAGGATTTGTTCAAAGATCACAGCATTTTCCTTTAGGTGATCATTTTATTTATTCTCACAAACTTTTCTTTTAATCATGTATTGATATTGTTGGAAGAAAATTAATGTTTGTCACTCTTGGGACTTAAAAAAATTTTTGGATGGTAATGTGCCCCTGGGATGAACCCTTAGCCCATACCAGGCCTACATACATACATACATACATAAACTTTATTTATCCTTGGATTTTAGTGTAGCTTACATAGCTAGTATCTCCGATCCTAACTAATTTTAAAAGTTACAACATATATAATATAATATTAATTAATGTAGTATTAACTAAAACCGTGCACTAACAATTTGCGCTTAAATTCACTATAATCTACAGTCTTTCTAAAGTGATCAGGTAGAGAATTCCAGTACTTAACAGATGAATAGCTAAAGGAATTTAGACCATATGTGGTTGTAGACGGCTTAGGAAGTGATAAAATATTAGTAGCCCGTAGGGAGTAAGCAGTAGACCTTAACTTGATCAGTTGTTTTAAATAGCACGGATATTTAAAACTTAATATTTATGTAGTTCAGCCCAACATTGCTATCCTAAAATCCCTTCCATTCTAGAGTTGCTATTTACCAATTGATCCATTTCCTGGAAAATGAAAACCATCAACACCCAAACTTGCTGATTTCTATACCATATTTCAGACTAAACTGCTTGAGAACCACACCCTTCACATATAGCCCATATATGGCCGTACTCCCCCCTTCCGGGGAACCTCCAGTGTCACTTCCATTCAAAGGCCAGGGGACTGATTAAACAGCTGTACTCAGTCTACAGTGTAGGCATACACTTACCAGGTTCATATGCTTATCAAAAGCAACAAGGTATCCAGCTAAAACACCACGGAGTCCTTTGTATCTTCTGGTCCAAACCTTGACTCTCAGCCTCTTAGTGAGACATGTGTGAAGTATGCTAAATGGTCCTTCAGTACATGCTGTGTATGCAGGAAAAAAAATACATTATTTACCCAAACTCACAAAAAATGCTCAGTCATTTTCTTTTCTGGAAACCTTGTAAACAGGACCACTTCATAAACAGGATCAGGATTTCATGCCCTAAGGGTAGTTTTATTAACAGACTTCCACTGTACTGTAAAACTAGCCTTTTAAAAGCAGTCACCTCTGGTTCAAGTAGTCCTGCCCCCATTTTGCAGGTCCTAATGGAAGATTAAAAAAAAGCCCCATCTGGTAGTTTTGAATATCTAGATTTCCCAATAAATAACTAGCATTTCATGCACATCACTTGCCTAATCAGCAAGGGCCCAGCAAGTCATCATTACATACAAAAGCAAACTAGACAAGCTCAAAACTGCCTTGGGCAGAGCTCCCTGTTGAGAGGACAAGCTGAATTTCAAGTTACTTTAAACTGCCGCTTATAAGGCCTGAGCTTATGAGTGATCTTTGTATGGGGTTTCAGGAGGGCTCATAAACAAAGGGGCTTAAATAATTTAGAAGGGGTTATAACTGGAATAGAAAAAACAATTCGAAACAGTGGTAGTGGTAATCAAAATACGTTTTGCAATTCCTGGTTTTTCACTAAGCTTCAAAATGTCACAATCAGTTGAATTCAGAGAGAGGCTTATAATCTGAGCTAGAAGGGGACTCATGATTGGATGGATTTTTTTGCAGGTAGATGGGCCTATAACTGAGGGGGGGAGCTTATAAGTAGCAGTTTAAAGTATGGTATGCTGAATCAAGTTACAGTCAACTCCCTTTAAAGTCGACACTGTAGCGACCTCAAGTTAATGTCCTGAATAGCAGGACTTTATTTCAGTCAAGCCTCTGCACTTTATTTTTGTCTGGGATTTAGCTGCACTCCTGTCAGGATGTCTGTTATAATAGTGGGGTGACTGCAAGGCACGAGTTGACTGTATTTTCCATTATGGAGAAGAAGGGTGGAGTGTGGATATCACAGAGATGTGAACTCTTGCCTTCCACTATTAAATGCCCCCAGGGTGTACTCCCTCACATGTATAAGGCTTATACAGGGATGTGCTACTGAACAGGGTATGGTTTTTGTCCTCTTTGTCCCAAAGAGGGTATATAATTTTGCATGAGTCTGTCCTAAACTGGGCATATAATTTCATATGAGTCTGTCCTTATCAAACACAGTATTGCCTGCACAATTATTGATTTAATTAATTTTTTCCATGAATTTTTTTCTACTGCAAGTATTCAAAGGCAATGACTATAACAGGCATTTGCTCTATCGTAATTGCCAATAAATGACTTTAACCCATTCGCTTCTGGAGATTTTGCCGAAAAACACGTTTTGAAGCTAGTCGAGTGGTTTTCTGGTCACTGTCGTGCTATGAAGGGCTAAAACTTACCACAAACCGGTTTACATGTCGTACACTTGGCGGCCTTCTGATCCAGATGCAAAACATCAGCTTGCGAAGTTCGGGCATGTGCAGAAAGCAAAATTTCGAGTTTACTTTTCGCTTTCTCTCCTCCCTTCTTTTTTCGCTTTTCTTGCCTCATTTTTTTTTTCTCTTGCTGGGCATTTAGTAGGCTTCATTTTGGTGGGAAGAGTTTTTAGGAAAGCTTTTAGGATGTTAGGATTAGGTGAAAGGAAAGATAGGTGGGCAATGGAACAAGATTTTCATGGAGATTTTCAGGTCAATGTCACGTGGTTTTTTGCTTCTTTCTCTGGTGTCCTTGACTGAATTGTGCTCATTCTGGTATGGTTTGAAAGATCTCTTCACTCTACACAAGTTAGCCAAGAAAGTTGTCCTTGACCGTTAAAACTGATGACGTCACAAAGGGTAGAAAGGACCTGGATCCGCACGGGCGGTTATGGGCAGTTTCGGGGGCGAATGGGTTTAAACAAGATGTCCGGCATTTTGTCCTTTGCACTAAACAGGGTTACAAAATTTATGTGTTGTCACTAAACAGGGTATGTATTTTTATAATTTTTGTCCTAAACAGGGTCAGGGTTCCAAGTCAGGGTTCCAAACCCTCAGTGGCTCACCAATACCTAAATATTGGTCAAGTACCCCTCTGTGATTAAATGAGGCCTGTATTCAAATTAATGCTGTTTAAGGGGGAGGGGGTGGGAACAACGGGTATAAAACGCAGGTCTCAGGCCACTGGTCACAAGTGCATGTAGAGTAGGGGTCACAGCGCTACTGTAAATAAACAACACTAAAAGTGTCTCCTAACCCTAATCCATTCCAAAATGAAGTTTTAGCTTAAGGAGTAACCACTTATTTCAGTTATTTATCAAGTGATCTGCGCTTGTAACTTGTGACTTATGACCTGTGCTTTGTGCCTGCCAGGGTGCGAAGGGGTATAAATCTTTTTCAGAATATTTTCTCTACTTGAATACATGTGAAGTCTGCGACAATGACATAGAAGGAATTTTGTTACGTAGTGCAAGCTTTACCTTCCATCCTGTCTATTACATTCATCCGCTTTTTCTTTATCTGTTCCGCTTTGAAAGCTTCCTCCGCCGTAATAAACTCCTGCAGCTTGGACTCACCCACTCTCCCTTCCATCTTTTTCCCAGTCTTACTTTTCGCCATACTCGAGGCGCTGGATTCGGCAATGGATTTAAGCCTTTCTTGCACATCCTCCTTCTCCTTTGGCTTGTATTCTGGTTTCAAATTTCTCGTCCTTGTGGCAGTTTTCCGCAACGAAGCCTTGCCTTTTGCTGACTTCGAAGATTCGCTTGATTTTATTTTGCCCTCCTTGATGGCTTGAGCATATTCCGCGAGGTTATTAAATATGTGTATTTTTGGTACAGGAGGCTGCAGGTTTTCCGCGTATAGGGCCTTCAAAGGGTCGAACTTTGGCGACAAAAAGTCCAGTTTTTTATCCATATTTTCTGTCAACTTTTGCGAACGTATGGCAGCCATCTTGAAAAAAGTGTTAGTTACCAGTCCTTTTTCTACTTTATTCGGTTTTAGCCCTCGCGGTTTTAGAACACAGGAACCCCAAACTCTGTCATGAACTCTGAAACTGAAGTGTATCGCAAAACCTTGTGGAGCTCGGAATCATTACACTGGATTACATTACTTAAACACTTCTTGGGCGGCGAGACGGCCACAAAGATAGCGACGGGTGAAAATCCCTGTATAACCAAGGTAGATATCATCGGCAATACAAGAGATGCAGTCAGTGATTGGACAGCTAATGTATCATTTCATTAAATTGAAATCCCGATCCCCAAACCCCCGGGACATAATGAGGATTTCACGCAGTCAAAGCTTGGTTTTAATGAGCGGGGAGTTAAAGCACAACTTGGATTTCAGGTGTCAGTCAGATGTCATACTCACCGTAGGCATTAACTGAAACTAACATTATTCAATACCAAGTTGTGTTTTAGCCAGATTTTCCGCTACAGGCCTATAACAACAACTTCAACGACAACTCTACTTCGAATCAACAAAACAATAAAACAATATACGACCCGCAGATGGCAAATGTTAGTCGAAGTCAAGACTCATTCTCCCTCACAGAGTCGAAAGAAGTGGTATTTTAACATCTGGTCATTGAGTTCATTATTTCTAGCTTTTGCTAGCCTGCGTAGCAGGCGTCGAATGCCAGGGGAAAGGGAGGAAGGGAAAAAGGAGGGAGATGCGAGTAAGACTCAGGCTAATTTACTTCCGCTCAGTCAGGTTTGGTCATTGGGCAAAACTATTATCTTCAAGAGCAGATATAAGGCTTAGTGCAACTGGAAATGACGTTTAAGTACGAAATTTAATATATGAAAAAATTAAACGCAACAACGAATTTGTTTTACAAGAGAAGGACCAAGTAGTCACCAAAGAAACACTACCTGAAAATAACGAACCTTGAGGTAAAGGCGTCGGTAAATCAGTGTCTCTACACAACGGATGAGATCTCACGTAGCCTGCCTAAGATGAGTTATTGAAAGCGCTCATGTCGGTTTCGAGGAGCCAATGCGAAGCTAGCGCGAGAACACGCGAGTCTCCTGCTAAAGGCGGCTGAACACAGTTTACTTGGTTAAGAGTCGTTACTCTTCAGTGGGGTGATATTTAAGTCTCGCTTTCTGGAAAGCCCGATAGGCTGCATATCTTCCCGTGATAAAGACCAGACTGTTCACAGTCCCCTATTTTTTCTTAAGATCGTCAGCTGAGCGCTTACCTGTACAGGCAGCCATCTCGGTTTCATACTACCAAGGGGGCGGGTGTAGGGGTTCATAGGGGTGGGTGGAAGGCGGCTATTTTTGTCGCCTCCTCCCAAACTTTCCCCCACCCCCTACGTAAATTTGACGCTCATCTAGGATGGCCACCAGTAACGCAAACCGCTCTATCTCGACGATCTTACGGAATAATAGAGGACTGCGAACTGAGTACTGATAAGACGTTAACAGTAAAGAGATAAAAGCATTTCTAGAGCCTCGTTCAGTTGGCTGTGGATTTGATTGTTTGACGTTCGTCTGCACGTTTGGTTTCCTTCAGCATCCTTTACCACTGGAACGACAAAAATAAAAAAATTTCGTGGCAAAGCGGAAGCTTTCTCTCGGCCGAAAACTGGTACCTCATAATCACGAGAATGATCATGCAATGAAATCACCAAATTTATCGATACATTGCCTTGTGCCTAAGAAGAATATAGCTCAGATATCTCAGCCCAGAAGGGAACAAATCCGACGTTATAGCCGGAAAAACTCAGCACTGCATGAACGAGCTGTCAAAAATTCTAAAAATCATGACAATGGATTTAGACTATTTTTATCTTTTGATAAAAAAACGTAACGTTTAATACATTAATCCACCAAGCTAATACACAAGTTAAAGTGGATGTTTCTCAAACACATGTCCAATACTCACCGCGATAATGCGGTGGCTATTTCTTCACCTTTTTCTCAATAACCAGTACTATTCTAATACTTTTCAGTTACAGTCATATTTCTATGTTTAAATTTAATTCAAAATGGTTTAAGCAGTCTTTGTACGTGAGGTTACGCGAAGATGGATGTCCAAACAAGTTAAAGTGGATTTGACGATAACTTCAGGGGGTTGCTTCGTATCTGGAGCTACTTCTAAGCGATATTTCCTCAAAATTCGGGCCAACACCAGCTTCATTTCTATCATCGCAAACCGCAACCCAATACAGTTATGCGGACCGTTTCCAAATGGCATGAAAGAGTAAGGATTGCGTGACTCTTCCTTTGCAAAGCGTTCTGGGTCAAACTTGTCTGGGTCTGCATAAATGGATGGATCTCTGTGGATACTGTAAACTGGAATCATTACAGCTATATCTTTTGGTATCTTAACGCCCTTGAGGATGCAATCTTTGGTGCAGTTTCGGATGATTAGAAATCCTGCAATGTAAAAAAGAAAGATGTTTGTTGTAAGACAGGACACGTGAAGCTACCTTTCCTTCTTTAGTATTCGAACGAGATATCACGAGGAAGTCCCCATTTACGTTGACGATGACATCGTCACCAACACCACAATCATCATCATCATCATCATCATCATCATCCTCGTCGTCATCATCATCATCAACACCACAACCATAATTGATTACTATTGCTATCACCCTCACCACCATCACCATAATTACCACAATCAACATTGATCATCAATGAACGTAGGCATCATGCCATCATTATCATCATCACCATCACCAATACCACCACTGATCATGGTTGTCATCATCAACATGCCCATCATCATCACCATCACCACTGCAGCGATCACTATCAAAATTAATCAATAGCATAATTTACTTTGCAGTGACTATAATCTACCTCTAGTACTGTGCAATTAAACAAAAACACCGGGGCAATCGTAGTTATTTCATGCCATGACCATTATTTTTCCATTATCCACACTTAAGTATTATGACGTTTACGGCCTAGGAACAAAAGGGCAAAAATCGGTGACATGCCATTTGTTTCAGGATCTGACTCGCTCTTCTGACCCAGTGAAATGCTCAACCATTTATCGATGGTGGTTAAATTCCTGAGGGAAGGGGGTGTGGGAAATGATCATGCTTAGAACTCAAAGCATGTGAGAAAGTTCTCAAGGGAGCTCTGGGAGAAGTGGAGAAGAAGAGAGGGAGAGCACCAGAGCTCCCACTTCCCCACCAAGGAGCAAGGTTGGCGCAGTGGTGAGAGCACTCGGCTTCCACCACTGTGGCCCGGGTTCAAATCCCAGCATTAAAGCCATATGTGGGGTTAGTTTCTCTCCCTTGTTCCAAGAGGCTTTTCTCTGGGTTCTCCAGTTTTCCCCTCTCCTTAAAAACCAACACTTGCAAATTCCAATTCGATCTGGAATGCAAGCAGACGTTTCAACGAGTTCTCATGAACTCCTAAGTGCTCCCTGGGTAAACAAATAACTACAAATCACAATTACAAATTACAATTTACAGAGTCAGCTTGCAGGCTATAGAAGTCAATAATGTGTAAACAGACTAACCCTGACTCTAACTCTGCTAAATTCCGCTTACCTGGTGGATACAGCCTTAGGGTCTCTGATATGACCATGTCCAGATATGGTAGCTGGTGAATGGTCTCGTAAGACAACATTTGGCTATCATCAGACCACACACTGTCAATTTCCTGCTGCAGTTTTTCCTGAACCTCAGGACTGTCAGCCAAGTGGTAACATGCAAAACTCAAGACGGTGCTGGTTGTTTCATGGCCAGCAAACAGAAACACCATGCTTTGTGCAATGATCTCATTATCAGAGAGCTTCTTTGACTCTGGGACAGTGGTGTCATCTGCTGCAGCCAACATAAGATCAAGCATGTCCTATCAAATGCAATGAAAGTATTGGTCATTATAGTCATTGACAGTCCCTTTTTGTCCCAGTTCCCCATTTTTAAATTCTAAGTATACGCACAGTGTCACCAAGATCTAACACTTATACCTGAAACCCCAACAGTAGTGTTTACATTGTGTAATGGCACCCAAATAGTATCTTTGGCTATTTTCTCTGTTGTAACCGCATTTACATCACAATGATTTTCTGCTAGCCCTCACATGGCCTTAGCTTAAATAATTATAGGAACACACGCAAGGTTTTTTTTTTTCCCAGGGTTACAGAAATTCGACAGGAAACCACCTCAAGAAACTCCTTTACTGCAGGGGATCGCAGTAAGAGTTGGCACAATTAAACCCTTGCCCCTTGTGGAGTCTGTGAGTCATTTAGTCTTCTTATAGTTTCATGGTTCTCTCCAGCACAAGTGCTGATGCTGCTACACAATGAATAACTGGAAATCAAAGTTTTGTTAACAACAACTGCACTGTAAACTCTGTTTAAATAACCGACCCCTAGAGTTAATTCCAATTGCTCTCTTGGCCTTTCTTTGATTCACTATAAGAGGGGGAGGGAAAGCAGTTAGGAGCCTGGGAGAATAGGGGTCAGGAGGGGCACAAGAAGGGAGAAAGGAGAGAGGGAGGGAGGAGTGCTAAATTAGGAGCCACAAGTGGGAGAAATAAAGGGAAATAATGGAAAGCGGGCGGGGGGGGGGAGAACCCACAATGAAAGGTATCTATAGGAGGCGTAAGGTTTGGACCCCGCTTCTACTTTCCTCCAATAAGGCAGACACCTCTCTATGATGGACAGCCAGTGTCAATCCTAATCTGTCTTAGGGAGAGGTTTTTTGTTAACATACCGCTAACTGTATATAGGGAGTTAAAGATGCAACAATGGCGATGGCAATGAGAACGCCAAAAAAGTAATAGGTTGAATAGGCAAAACAACAACTCTGCATGTGCATCATGCTTTTATGTACATTATGTACCACTGCCGCATGACCATGAGGTGAAAATGCCTAGTTTCATGTTTTATGGAGGACATGAACGAGTGACGACGAAACTTTCTTTCTCTTTCTGAACTTTGATATGAATGTAAGGAATTTGGCTCCAGGATAGTTCGCTTGCATTTGACAAAGTACCTGTAAGCAACTTGGATATTTTTGATAGAGATTAAGAACCCAACTTCACTTTCTAAGCGACATTTTTTGGCCATTGCCATTGCGCTATCTTAAACTCCTAATATTACCTTTCTAGGAGAGTTTCCTTGACCACCCCTCTTGAGCTGAACAATTTCTTCTGATATGTTAAGCAGGGGCTTTAGATTTGCCATCCACAAGCTTGGCACCAATTCCATGATTTTCATTCCAAATGGAAATATGGATATAATTGTTAACAAAATCCGTCGAAAACCACCCTGCTGTGTGGCCTGCCGAACTGCACTCAAAATAGGTTCATCAGGATTTGACTGTGAGTCAACTTCAAATCCAAACGCAGCCGAGACAATGACATCCATTGTAAGGGATTGTTGATATCTGTGAGAACAAAAATGGGAAGTAAATTTATTTGGCTTGCAATAAAACTCCCTCACACAACCACTGCAGCAATATGACCTGAACCCCTTATAACATGTAGCTCTGGGCTTTCATACAATCCCTACTTTGACTATAACAGACATCTCTCCTATGGTTCATACACTGATTTTGTTTAATACCTCTACATCCTGTGTCCCTTATGCAAAAAACAATTGATAAATTTGACGATTTTTTGGTAGAATATCCTGTTTGTGCAATTTCTGTGGCTGTTGTTTAAAGATCATGCATATTTATTTATAGTGTTTTTTAAATAGTCTTTACTTTGAAGTGGGACTCATTGGTTATGGATAGGGACTCATGAATTTTCACAAGATGAGTCCCAGGACTCACCATAACTATTTGTAACAAAATCACTGTTCATATGTCATCCATAGTGTTGATAAGTGGACTAAGTCCAAAACTAGACATTCAATTGAACACAGAGCTCTAATCATACTTTTTCATATATTTGCTGTGGCTTTAGTTTATGATTCTGAATGAAAGCTTTCATAGTTTGGGTGTGCTCAAGGCAAAATTAACAAGATCTTTGTTTGAGGCTTCAAAAAGTGACCCTTTTCCTCAACTTTTACTATATGCTTTTCCTCCTCCCTGCTCCTTTCACTTTTCTTGGCTCCTTTTTAATCTCTTTACCTAAGCTGAGCTTTAATCGTGGGATTTCATGATGATGGTGAAATTATTCTGAAGGATTTAGTACAGGGCCAAGTTGCTCCAAAGACTGTTAAGTTTAACCCAGGATTAAGCCAAAATTAATTTTAAGAAAGGTTTTCTTGTCTAAGAACATGCAACTTGAGCTTTAAACAAAATACTGATGTGAAGTATATGAAATAATTCTTTTTGAACTGCGGTTGTAGATGAAAGTGAAGAATGATCATCGCAGTAAATTTTCAGGCTTCTTCTTTCCAATTGCTTAAATTGGAAAATTTACTGCGATGATCATTCTTCACTCTCAAACAAAATACTGTTGAGCCTTTACTCCAAGAAACAGTAATAATAACATCACAAAATTTTACCCTCAGCAATACATAGGAAAGTAAAATACAAAACACAAAAGTTTAATCCTGGATTAGCACTAATCGACCTCTCAGGAACCAGGCCGGATGGGTAAGTGAAACAAGATTTTCTGATGAACTTATAAGGCTCTGGCCTGTTTGACTTAATTGTGCTCATATGGGTATGATTTGAAAGATCTCTTCCTCCGGCTCATTCAAGTGACCCCGGTTGGTGTCAAAGTTGTCTATAATTTACAATTAAATTGATGAACTCACAAGTGACACAATTAAGGGATCTAGGTTTACAAGGGCAGTAGGAATGGTAAGTGAGGAGTGAATAGAATGAAAATCTTACGTAACAGACTCACTTAGAAATGTTAACACTTTGCTCCTTATCAGCTACCCCACTGAGTTTCTTGATCAGATTATCACAGCAGGCATTCATCAGTGGTATCATCTGTTTCATCTTTAAAGCACTGAAAGCTGGAGTCAAGGTGTTATGAATACGTTTCCACTTATCCTTCTCAGCAATTGTCAACATACTGGCTAATGGTTCTGGTTGTTTCACAATGTTCTACAATAACAAAAGCAAAGTTAATTTAAACAGTTTAAAAAATGTCTTATAACAGGGAAACCTGTACTGAGTGGATATTGAGCGAACAAGGGGCCCAGCAAGGTGTTGAGTACCACAAATGCACCTAAAAGGGGAAACTGGCAGACATCTGGATGATATGTTCAAAAATTGCGTACCTACTTCTCGTTTGCCAGGCCAGGACTAAAATTAACCTAACGACACGCTAGTACAGTAGCTGTAGCTGCAATCCACGCTGGCTTCTTTGACACCACCAAAGACACATAAAAGACAGGAAGTTAGCCGAACCTACATTATGTTTACTTTCAGCCACAGCACTGTCTGCAACTTTATAATTAGATGCTCCATAACTCAACAGTTCCATTTGATGATCCACCAAATGGCTGAGCCATTAAAACATGCAACTTTCTTGTTCTTTAAATTTTCAAATAAACAGCCCCTGAACCACCAAGCACCAAGCCACTAAAAAATGCTTGATATGAACTAGAATTTTCACAGTACCCCATTATTCCATAAGAGAGTCGAGATTGAAGACTTTGCTTTTACATGGGCGGCCATCTTAGATGAGTGTCAAATCTACTTATGAAGCACGGGACGGTTTGAAAGGAGGCGAGAAAAATAGAGGGACTGTACCAACATCACTGCGACTTGCGTTCAGGGGGCATGACAGGACTTTCATGTCTTTAATATTCATTAATTGATAAACAAACTCCGCTTGCGATGAAAAACAAGCCAGACACATTTAGCATCAGCTTTGTGCTCTTACAAACATCTCCTTTCGAAACAATGATTATTATGCAGTTAAAAGGAGATTTTTCCACATTAATAATATAGGCCAATATGCACAGCTGAAACATTTTCCCAAACTAAGCGGCAAGCATGCTCTCTTCGACACATGATTAAATGATTAAACCTCTGTATAAAGAGCCAGAAATTTCTGACACTGGTTGTCTTTCTGTGTCTTCGTGGCAAAAACTGTGCTGTTTCATTCAAAACTCCCCAGACTTCTGGAATTAACAAAATTCCCCCCACAGAGGCTACATCAAAATCATGCTGGCTTACGTGATTGATCTTCAAAGAACTGTCCAAAAATTCTTCATCTGTTTAAGTGCCTTGCGAATATGCAAAAGCATCCAGTTTTGAAAACAATACTTGCGAACAAACGGTTTTATGTAATCCCTTCTCTATGAAATTTCTATGAAATGTCCAAAAGAGTCTGCCCTACATCATGCCAGTCGGAAATAAATTCCTTTCCCAGTTTCATTGGCCCAAAATTATGAAGACCCAAAATAAAACAAAAGTTAGGTGAACAGTTATCATGAAAGCGCTTTATAGAAACAACAACTTGTCAACAACTTGTCAGTGTCGGCAACTTTCAGCTAATCCTGTTGTCAATGCAAATTAACATCTATTGTTTATTGACCAATCAAATGCCTGCGTTGTTGGTACAATGCACTCTGTGAACGCAAGTCGCAGTGATGTTGGTACAGTCCCTCTATTTTTCTCGCCCCCCTCCACCTAGAGCTATAATCCCCAACACCGGCCCCTTTGGTACATTTGAAAATCAAGATGGCCACCATTTACGGTAAGATGCGTAGTATCTCGACAGTCTCACAGAAAAATAGGGGCCTGTGAACACTCAATACTCTTTCACTAAAACTTATATCTACAGATGTCTTTACCTTTATCAATTGCTCATATATTACATTAATAATAATAATAACAACAATAGTAATAATATTATAATAATAATATCATTAAAATCTATTTATCAGGCGCAAATATAATAACAATAGATTCAAACGCGCCAATCACTGGTGAGCAAGAAAGGAAACATTTGTCAAACTTCTATCTATAGTATGGCCTTCTTCTTAATCATAACGTCAGACTTACAGGGCGATCGGAGAAAGACTCGAACTCTTTAACGAAAATGTCTTTGATCATTTCTGGGTCACTGATCACAAAGCAAGGTTTGCTGGTAAACATTGACGACAAGACGAACACGTTGCCATATTTCTTGTAATACTCGTCAAGTTGAAGGTGGAACTTTCCCTTGTGCCTGATGAGGTCGTGAAGATGTCCGATGAAAGGAAGTGGAGTTGGTCCAGTGTGGTAGCAAGCTTTTAACGCCTGATACGGAGATATCCAGAAATAGTAAACGACAAACAAAATGACTGCCGCTACCACTATAGTTTGCCAGTCTCGAAATATCGGTTCAATAAGATCAAGAAGCCCCATCTTATCTGGATGCACTTTATGAATATTTCCTTAGTAGTTCTATGTTTAAGTAATTGGACAGGTCAAACTGTTACATCATTTAGTCACTTGATGGTGCAAGAAGATATCGCTGTCTGTGCACAATGTTAAGTGCCAGCGTATGTTTAGTGCGTGGTTACAAAGGAGAATGTCATGTACTTGTCACGCAATGCCTGGTCACACTTTACAGGTATAAATTTCAAGAACTTTTACAAGGGTAGCCATTGTTTTAGAGTCCGAAAACAATAGGTGCACTCGTAAATTGCACTTGTAAAATTTTAATAGACCTATTTGGCTAACTCAATGTTGTACCCAATTCAAACCCTTTGGGAATAAAACTTTTTGTTTCAGGAATTTCCATACATTTAAATGAGAATGCCACATTATGATGCAAATACAATACACAAAGAATCTTAACCCCGGGAGATTTGAATTGGGTACAACATTGAGTTAGCAGAACAGGTCTATTAAATTAAACCCTGTTAATTTTAAAAAATTTACTATACAGAAAAAGCTTTGTGTAAGTATAGGACTAATAACTCCACCCAACTTTCAACTTAACTTTCAACTTTCAACTTTTTTTCCACTGTTTAGTTGAATTTATCTTGCACATACAGAATATATAATTTTCTCACAGAAATGCACTATTCAAATATTAATAAATAGAAAATCTAGAGAGGATGTGCACAGTGGCCAAAGGAGCCGAGGCTTGTGGCAGTTGGCAGCTACCAGAAAAAGCCAAGATTTAATTCCTTAAGATTAAAGGGCACATTATATATTAGAAACATCCCTACAGTTATTAAAGTGGAATGGCTATGAGACCTGTTAGACTCATTTTTTACATGTTTTTGTTAGCTTTCTTGGACCTGACGGTGCACAATGTTCAATAGCATTCCTATCATTTCGAACTTACTGACAAAATAGAAAATGCGCATTAAATTTGTGTACAAAAAAGATTGCGCACGGTCAGGAAACTTCCAACATAAACTTAAGCACCGTTGTTTTCAACTTTGGTGTTTGCCAGTTTTCCTAACCAGTCTCCTCTACCAACTATGTCTGAAATAACTCATCCCCTCCCCTTAAAAATCGTCCCCACAGCAGAGGGAAAGGGACAAGCAATGCCTTCTGGGAGATCCATCCGCCATTTTGTCTTTTTTCGACGTAGACGCAACTCATTTTTCTTATTGGGCCACAGACACAAATAAAAAAGGGGAAGATTAAGCGAAAAAGTGGAGGGAAGGGAAAGGGAAGCCAAGGCGTTTTCTTGCCTCTTTACCTGGCCTATCCCCTGGGAATCGCGACAGGCCTACCTTGGGTGCTAAGAGACTTAAAATGCGCGGTTTGCGGTTTCGATGAAGTCTTAATAGAGGCTTCCACCAAAGATGTGTCGGCCTGCGGCCAACCCCCGAAGCATATCGTACCGCACGCGAGATAAACTCTGGTGCCCCGGCCACAGGGTATGACAGGCCGGCAAATCAAAGCTCAAAATTCTGCCCTGGATGCAGTAGCTCCAAGTCATGGAATAATTAAAAAATGTGAAAAGGTAGGGTGGGGAAATTACTTATCGCCTTTCGTTTTATTCATTTACATGAATAAAGCCCATTTGATTCTAATCTGGGTCTGTCATTATGTACACGCACTTTATCTTGTCATTCAGGGTTTCCTTTGGGTTGGTGTGAAATGTGCACAGTAATAACAATAAGAAAACGATGAAAGCGTAGCCTGCAGTGCAGGTGTTTACTTCGGGCGCGCAAATGTGCCATGTTGAAACTCCAAAAGAGAGGAGGAAAAAGGGGCGAGTCAAAGTTGCTATTTCTACTCGCCCCAATCTTCCTGTCATAAAATCAAAGATGGCGACTACAAGAGTACGAACATAAACAGGCAGCTTTCACCCGTCCAAAATACGCCTGCAGGCTAAAAAAAAAACTCTCGAGGCTTCGCTTTATATATGTCATAAATTTTATCTCCTACAATAAATTTACAAATGGACCAATAACAGCCGCCTCGAAAGGTCTGCAATAAGACAATGATAAAAGTTAGGAGCTTTTTTAATAATTTGAATAATCGCACATTTAATCTACAAATTCAGTAGAGTAAATATATTTCAGACACCATATATTTATGAATATAACTGCAAGTTTCTGGCAAAACAAAATTCAACACTTACAGTTAATATATATTTCAATTTCTGTCAGTTTTAAACCAGATGTCAGAGATGTGGCTACTCCTTTACAAATGATTTCAACGACGCGTCAATCTTACATGTAATCTGCGAGAGAACGTTTTCAAGTTGTCCAATAGTATGATAGGCAAAAGTGACGTGCGTTTGATTAACGCCATATGGAGAAACACTCTTAATTTAACATTCGGAAAATTCTATTTTGAAATTTCGAGGAAGAACATAACAAAAAATTCGACCAACACAATTTTTTTGAAGACAACAACCTATTTTTAAAAGGTATGAGTGATGGGTCTTAATATAAGCTCTAATCTGGGTTTAAGGGGAACGATTTTTGTGGGTACATCTTGAAAAAAGGCATGTTTTATGATTATGATGATATTTCGCCAGGCATTATTGTAGGAAACTCTTCGCTGTCTGATCAAACATTCTGTCCGTCACCGGATAAAAATCTATTAAGTGGATAACGCTATTAGTTTCCCTAGCGTATGCTAATCCACTGGATAGTGATTCAACCAGTGAATAGCGCTATCCAGCGTTTGAACAACCGAGGCCTGATCAGTAACGCTTGACTTGTAAGTTTTTTGCTGTCGATATTGAAAGTTTTTTTTAGGTACCCCGAGGTACGGGGTATTGTCAAAGAAATTGCATATGGGTTTTATTATCCCTTAAAGAATACCTGGAATGCGCTAAAAGTTTGAAAGTGTAGATTAAGAAATGAGCTAGCCACAGATCCAATTATTCAGGCCAGTTCATGCTAGACTGTAGCCCGCGTGTATCCCTCTCGCGCGCTCGTTCTTTCTTGCGCCCACTGCTTCCAAGTGCCTGCTACGCAGGCTAGCTACACTGCGGATAGTGGTGCCAAATGGGGCGCTGAGAAACAAAGCGAAAGAGGGCAGATAGGGAGAGGGGAGGGAACAAAGTTGATTGTAATTCGTATCAGGCTTATTCTTTTCCTTTTAACATCATAGGAAAAAATAAATTGTTTCTCTCATGTCTTCGTCTTTGGAAGTAGTCCGCTCAGTCAAGCTGGGAATTCTCGTCCCAACAAATCTTATAGGAAATATCCTGGTAGTTTTAGTGGTCAAGCGCACAACAAATTCTTTACAGACTCCTATGAACTACTTGCTTGTTAACCTGGCCTTCGCTGACATCACAGTGGCCGTGTTTATGGTCATTGACCAACTGTTTTTTCACGTGGTACATCACCCGGAAGGTGTTGCTGGAGATATCCTATGCAAGCTCCTTACTGGAAAGATCCTTACCTGGGTGGGCTCCGTGGCATCGGTGTGCACACTTGTAGTGATTGCTTTTGAAAGGTAATCTGAAAGTATTTAGCCTTTCGGCGGTTTTATAGCGTATGGGGGCTGGCTATGTTCTCTCTAAAGTAGTCTCCCACGCAGCGCAGAGAAACGTTTACGTTGCGTGGCGACACAAACTGCGTCAAGATTTGTTGATATTGCTTTACCGGCTCTGACCTTGAAACACGGAAAACAAAATCCCGATGTAATCGTCCTTGGGCGTACTTTCCGAGCTGCTAACCCGGTCAAAAAAACGTGGGACACTTCCGATTGATTGGGTATGCACTGTGCAGTTCCCTCGCCCCGTTGCATTGTTTTATGAAAAAGCAAAGTTTGGGAAAGTTTTTCAACGTTATAATGGAAGAGTCGGGGGGCGGGGGAAATCAACCAAGTGTCCCAACGGTTTTGTCCAGGGTTGTTAACCGTTGCCCTATTTTCATGAAAACAATATTTTTGCAGGTTCTACGCCATAGTGCTGCCTTACAAACACACAGCAAAGCTGACCAAGAGAAAGACTGTTGTAACTGTGGTATTCTGCTGGATAATTGCCTTAACATTCAATTTGCCACTGCTCATCGTTCGCAAGCTAAATCTCAACATCAAAGAGACTGGGTTCTTCTGTAGAAGCTATTGGCCAAGCAAGCAGTTAGCAATCGCCTACAACTTTCTTTGGTTGGTTTTTGTTGGTGTTGTTCCAGTCGGTCTTATGGCTGTCTTGTACGGTCGGATTGTGTTCAGCTTATGGTTTCACCAAAATAGCGTGACAAACGAAGCGCAGAAAGCGCGCTTAAAATCCCGAAAACGCGTGACAAAAATGCTGGTCACGCTGAGCGTTATTTACGCCGTGTGTTGGTTTCCAAACTTGTTAATCAACACCATCGATTATTACATAGAAATTCCCGCCCTTCGTTCAATCGGTTATCTTGTTTCGGAAATGCTAGTACTTCTCAATTCAAGCATTAACCCATTTGTGTATGCTTTGCAAAGCAAGCAATTCCGGGAGGCCATTAAGACCATTGTTTGTTGTCGCGAAGGGGGTAGGGTCATGCCGCTTGTAGCCGCTACAAGAAATGTGACCACACTTGTTCGGGCCCTGTAAAAAAGCTTTACGGTGCGTTTTCTCGCACACACTTGCACTTTGACTAAATATTCAGGTAACTGTGAAAAGCTTTCCCACTTAAAAAATAAAAACATTGTCAGAACTGTTACTACAGAAGCAAGGAACAAAAAATTACTGGGTTGAAGACTTTGAAACCAGGCAGTACATTGCAGTGCAAACAATTTTATCGTGTCAATAGCGATACCTGAGAAACCTAGCACTTCCCGCAATTGTTCAGCTTCAAACAGCTGAACAGAAAAAAAATTGAAGTGGATGAAAGAGACATAATGTTAAGACGTTGCAAATAATTACCTTCAAAAATATAACCTAGAGACATCAAACTGACGTACTTTTACAACTAATTCAAACCAAAGGCCAAAATGAGCATGCACTAATAAACAATTATTATTCATTCAAAATATTTCCCCGATTCTGATTGGCTAAAAGCACACGTTTAATTCACCATAACCAGTTACTGATGACCAAATTTGGAAGAATTTTGACTTTAACGAGGAAATGACGTCAAAAATGCAGCGTTTTTGCAGGTTAAGGCACCGTTAACCGAGAAGACCTGGGGACGAGGTTGAGTTGTTTTGGTTGTGAAGTTAAAAAAATGGTGGACATTTCACTCGTTTCAAGAGTAAGAACTAGGTGAAAAAATAGCTAAAAACATGGCCAGAACAGCAAGAAGACAACTCGAAGGGCGACATCTGCTATTTGGAGAATATTTGAGGAGCTGGACAAACCTAAACGTACACTATCGAAGATGAACTGAACATCGATGGATCGATGGAGGTATTAAGCATGTTTTAGCTATGTCTTTAAACTAGAAATTATTTTGAATGAATAATAAGACAGTTATTGAATTCGGCTTTCGTCTCATATGAAGAATTATGGAGATCGAGGAGGGTGTTATTCGTCGAGGCCGTAGGCCGAGGCGGATAACACCCTCCGAGATCTCCATAATTCTTCATAAGATACTCAGCCTCATTCATTAACTGTTAATTATTGGATGAGGTTTTGTGATATCCGGAATAATCAACGACGAGGTAACTGTTATCAGCCGAGTCAAAGGCCGAGGCTGATAACACTTACCGATACCTTGATTATTTAGGATATTACAAAAAACTGAATCTAATAATTGTTTTATTACACATTCTTTTGAAGAAAATAACGACAAACACACCGTCATTGATATAATTGTTGTTGGAAATCATGCATTGCGCGCACAACCTACGTAGCCTGTAAACAGACGTTGTTTTATTTTTCTTGTCGTTCTTTTCGAAAACATCGGGGAGCTCGCGAGAACGAGCGCGGAGCGCGAGAAAGAAAAATAATTATTCCCCTACCACTACCCCCTTGTGCTGGCGGTCAATGAATCACCTGCGGCGAGTATATTTTATCACCTGCGCTCGACGGACTTGGAAGAGAAAATAGAGGGTCTGTGAACATGCTACGCACAACCTACAGATTAGTCAGTTGTCTGCTAGCAGATAACTAACTAATCTTAGGTTGCGCTGATTTCCAAAATTAGCTGTAGGCTCTTAGGCAATGAGAAGACAGATAATGAGTACAATGGATAACATCAAAAGTTATTACCGTGCTTTACCATACATGATCAGGAACCGATTACTTGACATGATATATGTCAGTAAAGATCAACATCAACGAACAAATAATGAGGTGCAATTTAACTTCTTCCTGCTGCGCCCTAATTCAGTATATAATCAGCTTACGGGGGAAAATGATATCCTGGCCATTAGATAATACTCTGATCATCAAGAAATGATCAGAATGTTAAAAGGATGGTAAACAATCTAAATTCGAGATTTCTGCCTGTTTAAATTACAGAATTGAAAAAAGAGTCCTTATCCTATGATTTGTTTTAAAATTTCTCATAATATAAGAAAACTTTTTCTTAAATTGAGAGATTCGGAGCAATCTCGAATTTAGAGAGAAATTTTCCATGATAAGGCTTGCAATATAAAAAAATAAGGTAATCATTCAAGTGAACCAAAAGCATACGGAAGAAAAATGAGAAATGAATTAGTTATTAGCGTGCAGATTAAGAAGGAGTTAGAGAACTGCACGATATATAACTCTCTCTCATTGACCTATAAGAACTCTTCTGTAAGTTTATTTAGCGCGGGAGCTTTTCGTGTGTAATACATAAGGTATTTTCCGACTTTTTATTTCACAAAGAAAGACTTTTGAAATAATATCATTAACTTTTCAACACTGCTGGTAGTCAGGGTACCTCAGTTGTAACACCGCGATAGAATTATGCAAAATCGACAAAAAAACCGATGAGATCATTTCATGAATAAAGTTTCAAAGGAATAGCTGATTGCGTAATTCCAAAAAAAAAAAGAGAAAGAAAGAATCGAAAGAGAAGTAGAAAAAGAAAGAAAAATGAGAAATGGCCCCAATTCCCAGGTACTCAAAAGGTACGTAACGCTACCCACTGGATAAATCCCTTTCTAGTGGATAACGCAATTGGTACGGTTTCCATAACACTTATCTGCTAGATAGTGATTTATCCGGTGGATAGCGCTATCCAACGTTTGAACAACGCGGGCCTGGACGTTTCCCCTAATTTTCATTTGTGGTACTGAAAATTCGTCATGACTCAGTCTAATGTATAACTCCAATCTGCGGAAACGAACCAATTGTTGAACTCATGTCCATCGCCTGGATGCCATATGTAATTTAAGTTTAATTTTACTTACTCGATTAACCTTCGTCTTGATCGACACACTCAATAAAGACAATTTTTTTTTCACATGATATTCACAGCTGTTTTTCCCTCATCCACGTACTTTATCTTCATTTTTCTTCATTTTGAGTGCTAATCTGATTCAGTGGTCTATAATTTCTTTTTGTTGATACGCCCCTGCAACCAATGCTAATTTCTTTTTCTTTTGCACTTTAATCTATTACAATTCTTCGATACGAATAACAACAAAATACTTTCATAAAGGTAGAAACAAAATAGAACCGCTTCTGCAAGCTAAAATAAGCAGAGAAAATCATCCCTTCCTAATTTACAAACTTAGCATTTCAAATTCATCGTTACCAGGGTTATTTTTGAGTCAGAAATTGGTAAAACGCCTAGCTACCCTGTAACTACCTTTTAGCATTTGATTCCTGTATTCATCCAATGCATTTTGATGTTAAAACATAAGTGCATTCTTGGGATTACGCGACGATTATAGGTTAGCGCTTGAAGTGCAAAACATTATAATTATGTGTATAATAAAGCCTTTTCGGCAATTTAAAACCTCGGCTTAAAGAAAGCCGATATATTTTTTAAACATATACTAATACGTTAAAGCCGTATTTCCGAGGTAGATTTACTTTGTACAGGACAATAAGTTAAAAAGGTCTCCCGTTCACATTGACAAGGAAAAAAGTGCTCCTCAGTAAATGCGACATAAACCGAACTGACTTTAGCTGCATGTTTATAAAATTTGAAATTGTTGACTTGCATCCGTATATTTAACCTGAGATCAGGCTATATTTTCGTTTCGCTTTGAAAATTACATTCCGGCGGGCATGGCGAAACGAAAAGAGAGGCCCAATTTTAGCGGTAACCGTTAGAGAGAACCAGGGCGGATAAATGTTGGGCGGTGAAACGAGCGCTCCGCTATTCATTTAATGTGTGATGCGGAGTAGGACTGGCACGAGCGCTCTTTCCGCGCTTCCGGTGCGCTTGAAGGCAGGCGAAATTTTCCTTTTTGCAAACCGGAAATCCTATTTTCTTTCTGTAATTTCAGGCTACAGTGTTAAATAGATAAATTCGTTTCATAACAATATCAATAAACAGTTTCATATGTTTGTGTCTGTACGTCTATAAGTCAAACTTGTTGGTCGTATAATGCCAAAATTTGAGTTTAATTTGAAAGTGTTGAATACCTCCTCCTTCCACTAAATATCACCTAATCGTCTTTCGCCGTTTCGTTTGTAAAAGCTTAACACTTCTTAACCTCAATTTTTACATATGTTAAAGGGGGATAAATGTTATATAACATAACAAAAAATTAGATTGATATATATTGATATAGTGGCGTTGTAGTTCTTCAAACTTTGCTTCTCAGGTGCAACGCGCCATGGCGATTCGCGCAATGCGTTGCAAATCCGGCAACCGCATGTAAACAAAATTTATTGAGGTTAGTTGTAAGGTCTTTTCTCCGTTTTTCTCTCTAAAAAAAAACAAGGTAAACAGTAAAATCTGAGGGGAAACTAATTTTGAAGTTTCGAAGAAACAGAAAGACGCATGAGATGTTTTTTTCAAAATTAAAAAGAAGGATGATGGTGATTGAAATTAGCATAATTTCACCTTGCACGAGCTGCACGCATTTATAAAATACACGTCATCTAGTTATGAAGCACGATCTGCTGTCTTTTAGTTTTGCCATTGATGACATGGATGAGATTTTCCTTCGTGTTTTAGACAATACTTAGGTGTCTTTGTTTTGGAATAACATCCACATTGGCGCGATTTGGCGAGTAGCAGAACGAAAATATAATTCAGTGGTAGAGTCATGGAAGTAATAAAAGAAACCCTTTGAAAAAGATGTTTGTCTCCTCCAACTAAACCTCCCGCAAAAAAAATAGCAACATTTGCCTCTCGGAGACAGTGTACCAGCACAAAGGAACGAGGAAGAAGTGCAAGGAAACAAATCAAGCTGCCATAATTCAGTGACAGCGGCAGTGACTAATGTACAAACCACATCGCAAGCCCTGACCGAAGTCGAAAACAAGCGACATTTGTAAGCATAGTCCCAGTCCACTGCATCACACCTTTTTGCTCGGACGCGCTCGTTTCACCGCCCAACCTTTATCCGCCCTGGAGAGAACGTAAGAGAACCGCTAAATTAAAATTGGGCCTGATCTCAGGTTACCGTATATTTTAATACTGATTAAGCTGTTTACAAGTACCACGGCCTGTCAGGTAATCAAACAAATTTACATTTGCCCTCTGAAAATCGGTAAACATG